TAACAAGTTTCTGAGGCAGGATTAGCACTCAGGTCTTCCTAACTCCAAGTCTAACACTCCATGTACTACTGTACTACCTAGCTGCTCATTAGAATGTAAACTCCTTGAGGGCAGGTATTCTACTTTTACTTTTCTTTGTATCTCCAGCATTCAATAGAGTACCTGGCGTATAATCAACACTTTAAAAATGCTTGTTGACTGAAAGATGATAGTAATAGTCCCTTTATCTTTAAGATATGCCAATATTTAAAAAAATACAAATACAACTGAGGTAGGATTAGAATGCAGGTATTTCTGACTCCAAATCCAGTACTCTATACACTTAAGATTCCATTAGAATACAAATTGTTTAGTGGCACGTACCCTGCCGTCCCTTTTCCTTGTAATCACAGCACTTAGTACATTTGTGGCTTTTATAATTGCATCTAAATTATTGCTGTTATATGATGGAATACTACTGTGCTGGAAGAAATGAACTGCTTGATTTTAGAAAAACATGGGAAGACTTGGATGAAATAATGAAGAGTGAAATAAGTAGAACCAACAGGATGTTATATACAGTAACAGCAATAATGTTCAAAGAATTAACTTAACTAAGCTATTCTGAGTATTATAGCCAAATCAACTACAAAGGATTTAAGAGGAAAGATACTATCCACCTCCAGAGAAAGAACTAATAAATAGAAGTAATACATGGTACGGTTTTATGAGAAAGAGAAAGGATGGTCTTACTATATATATGTATGAATGTATATGTATGTGTATGTATACATGTGTGTGTGTGTGTGTGTGTGTGTGTGTGTGTGTGTGTGTGTGTGTGTACACACACACATATGTGTTTAATGATGGCTTCTCCAGTGCAGGATGGGAAGGGAAGACAGTTTGGAACTTTAACAAAAAAAAATTAATTTAATTTCAGATTAAATAAGTTGCTGCTATTATGGTTCCTGGAAATGCTAAGACGGATGGTAAGGGGCAGATCTTGTAAAGACTACTACACTGTAGGTGTATAGAACCAGAGTAGGGAACAGAAAAGAACAACCGTAAATATAAAAATATTCCAGTCCAGGTAGAGCAAGAAAATGGTAGCTAGAAACAAAGTTACTCTTTCCTATAAGTAAGAAGCAATTGCCCCAATTCTCTGCATAACAGATGGACCATGACAGAAAAGTCCATAACCATCTTTCTCGTTCAAACTCAGTCAACAACTGAGAAGTCCATGTGGTAATTACTGACATGTAGATATCACTATTTCACTTGATCTTCATCCCAGCTTTGTGAACTAAGTGGTGCAGCTACGAATCAAGATCACACAGCTAGTAAGTAGTACCACAAGCTGAGTGAGACTTGAACCAAGACCTTCTAACTCCAAGGCCATTGTTATTTTCACACACTCAACAGCCCCAAATTTTGCTATGGTCAACCAGTTTAACTTTGATGACCAAGGAATTCTTCCCGAAACAGGAACTATTTTAAGGTTCTCCTTCCAACAAACATTCAAAACTCTTCTGGATAATGGTCTTTTTACACTGAGGCTGACAAATCTTGTTGTTCAGTCGTTTTCAGTCGTTTCCAAGTCCTTGTGACCCAATTTGGGTTTTTCTTGGCAAAGATAACTGGAGTGGTTTGTCATTTCCTTCTCTGGCTAATTTTACAGATGAGGAAACTTTGGCAAACAGGGTTAAGTGACTTGCCCAGGATCACACAGCATCTTAGGCCAAATTTGAACTCAGGAAGATGAGTCTTCCCAACTCCAGGGCTGGCACTCTAACCACTGTGTCAGCAAATAGCTGAGATCTAATAAATGTTTGTTGGGTTTACGAATAAGTCCAATTTTCATGAAAATTGAGTCTCACCACATCCTTTAAAACTCAAGATGAAGAGACCGTATATGAGCTGAATTTGAACTTAGGTCTTCCTATCTACTGCGCCACCTAGCTGCCTCATAACACAGATATGATCTAACACATAACATAGTCAGAAAGGCCCTAGCTCTAGGCCTGTGTCAGGCACTTACCAGCTGGGTGATCCTGGATAAGTAACTTAACCCCTGTTTGCCTCAGTTTCCTCATGTGTAAAATAGGGATAATAGCACCTACCTCCCAGGATTGATGTCAAATGAGGGTCAAATGCAATAATTGTAAAGCACTTAGCACAGGGACTAGCACATAGCAAATGCTCTATAAATGTTAGCTATCATTATTAAATCATTAAATTATTAAATGTTGTTATTATTAATTATTATTAATTCTAAGCCTTGAGGCTACAGGTTCCCCACCCCTGCTCCAGCGTATTTGCATGGTGCTCACTAGTGTCTATAAGCCACAACTGCAGCTTGGTAGCCAAGAGATAACACCTAGGAGAATGGCTAGTATTTTAATTTTTATGAAACTAACCTTCCAGGGGCAGCTAGGTGGTGCAGTGGATAGAGCACCGGCCCTGGATTCAGGAGGACCTGAGTTCAAATTTGACCTCAGACACATAATACTTACCAGCTGTGTGACCCTGGGCAAGTCACTTAACCCCACTGCCTAACCAAAGGAAAAAACAAAAAAAAGAAACTAACCTTCTGATATGTTTTACGTGATTGCTCATGTATAACCTACAACCTAAGCAAATCTACATTTTGCTTGCTGTCTTGGGGAGAAGGGAGAAAAATTTGGAACTCAAAATCTTTCTAATAAATAAATAAATAAATAAATGGGGGACGGCTAGATAAGTAGAAGCAATACATAGTATGGTTTTACGAGAAAGAGAAAGGATGGTCTTACTATATATACGTATGAGTGTGTGTGTGTGTGTGTGTGTGTGTGTGTGTGTGTGTGTGTGTGTGTACACATATATGGTGCAGTAGAGAGCACTGGCTCTGGATTCAGGAAGACCTGAGTTCAAATCTGGCCTCAGGCACTCGGCACTTACTAGCTATGTGACTGGGCAAGTCATTTCACCCCACTGCCACGCCCAAAAAAATAAAATGTTGAACACTGTCTTCACATGTAGTTGGAAAAAATAAAATACTATTTAATTATTTCTAGAAAAAATGAAATGAAAAATGAAAAAAAAAACACTTTCCAGATGAGGAAACTGAGGCCCTGAGGCCTTTACTCAAGGACACACTGTGAATTAGTATTGCAGAAATTTGCAATTAGTCTAAAAGGTTAACTATGAACTATCCAGGCCCAGAGACCCCACTACTAGGCATATACCCCAAGGAAGTCAAAGGAAGAAAATTGCTACAGACACCAACATATTCATGGCAGCATGCTTTTGTAGTAACAAGAAGCTAGGAACAAAGTAGATGCTTCTCAACTGGAAGATGATTAGGCAAGGCATAGTACATGGATAGAATGGACTATTACATCTCCGGAAGATTAAAAATTCCAAGAAGTATTGACAGTCTTATGTCAACTGATATAGGATAAAGTCAACCAAACCAGGAAAACAATACATTAACAGTAACTACAATGTAAAGGAACAATAAAACACCCATCAAATGTAATTATAATGACCAAGTCTGGCCCCAGAGATAAGAAAGTGGAGATAAGGGGCTATGGATATGGAACATTGTATATACCATCAGACTGTTGACGTGCTGGGTTAGTTTTGCTGAATCACCTTTTATTCTTCCATTTCTTTTTAATTCTTCATTATAAGCAAGGATAGATAGTCCTCTGGAGAGAGGGTATGGATTCAGAAATAATGAATGATGTAAAAGCCAAAAATATTTAAAACTAAAGAACTGTCTATTAAGAACTCTGAGAAAGATAAGCAGACAACTGATGGAAGAGTGATGTAAGCAAAACCAGGAAAACAATATACATAATGACAAACAAAAACCTCACACAGAATTGTAATTATAACTAAGCTTGCCCACCAGAGAAAACTGGTGAATCTCCCTCCCCTCTCATTGTCAGGGCACGGCAAGCGAGCTCCCAAGATTGTCTGTTTAGGATGACTCCCCTGACACCCAAATCCTGGCCTGCCGTCTCTCATATTTTTGCCTTCTAGGCACAAGCCTGTTGGGGTATGGAGAAAGGGTCCAACACTGGGCCCTAGGGACCAAGCTGGCTAGCCCCCTCATTCTGGGGAGACATAGGCCCCCTTGTTCTCCAAAAAGCCCAGCAGGAGTGAGAGCTGAGGTGCCAGGGATGGATGCCAAACTTTGAGGCTTGAGCCCATCCTCCTTTAGTAAAGGCATCTTAGGCGTCCAGCCAGGAGGCTGGGGGTCTGGGATCCTGCCTTGATTTCACTTACTCCTGCAGCACTGGTGACAAATGGAAAAAAAGCGAAGCAGGTACATACATTTTGCAGGTAGACAGAAATATTTCAGATGACAATATTTCTGTCTGGGTTTTGTTTTGTTTTGCTAGGCAATGGGGTTAAGTGACTTGCCTAGGGTCACACAGCTAGTAAGTGTCATGTGTCTGAAGCCAGATTTGAACTCAGGTCCTTCCGAATCTAGGGCCAATGCTCTATCCACTGCGCCACCTAGCTGCCCCCAGATGACAATATTTCTGACAGAAAAATGTCAGAGCTAATCTGACAGGTAGAAGAAATATTCTGGATCTGAGGTTAAAGGGAGTAAGATATCACTGAAAAGGACAAAACTAGATTCTATGTACTTTTTTAAGAGGCAGAATGACTTGTAGGAGCAATAGGGCACTGGACCGAAAATACCTGGGGGGTTCAAATCTCACCTCAGAACCTTACTAGTTGTGGGATCCTGGGCAAATCACTTCCATTTCTACGCCCCTCAAGTTTCCTCATCTGTAAAAGGAGGGTCTTGGACTCAATGGTGTTTTAAGATTCCTTCTAGTGCTAGAGCTGTGAGGTTGTTCAGTCATGTCTGACTCTCCATGACCCTGTTTGGGGTTTTCTTAGCAAAGATACTGGAGCGGTTTATCATTTCCTTCTCCAGCTCACATTACAGATGAGGAAAGTGGGGCAAAGGTTAGGTGACTTGCCCCGGATAATACAGCTTACTAGTGTCAGAGGCCAGATTTGAACTCAGGAAGATGAGTCTTCCTGACTCTAGGCCCAACATTCTAGCCACTGCTCCACCTAGTTGACCTCAGAGCTGTGATACTATGATCTTGGTATCATTCTAAAAGCCTGGCAGTACCCAACACAGAGTAAACACTTAACAGATGCTTCGATGGACAGGAGGGCCTGGCACTCTAGGTCCATCCCTCCCCTTCTGCACCATCTGGGAGCACTTCAGTTACAATGCCAGGAGGGGAGACCAACTCATACACTGTTAGAGCTGGAAGGGTCATCTAGCCCAACCCTTTTGTTTAACAGAGGAGTAAACAGACTCATGGAGGGGGAATGGAGGGCCCCAATCATCTAAGCCTTACAGCTAATTCAGAGGCAGGGCTAGAACCCAGGTGCCCTAGCTCTAAGTCCAGAGCTAATCTTACACATTACTTTGGATCTCCATTTGGTGCCCCCCTATTGTCCCACCTCCCCACATACATATAAAGGCAAAAAATATGTTTTGTGTAGCTCAGCCCTGCCCCTACCATGATCATCTGGGAACGCCCTCTCTTCCTCAGGATACCCACCCCAAATAACCATAACAGGCTTATCCAGTCTGCTCCCCTTCCCCCCACTCCTTCCACAGAATGGAGTTGACAAGAAACATTAAGAAGGGAAAAATAAATCCCAAGTGATTTATTTGATGCCTCTAAGTGGCACCTGGTTTCTGTCTTGAGTATAAAAAAGGCAATAAATGGCACTGAACCTGAGACATTACATGGAAAGGCTGGGGATAGGGAAAGTGCTGGGGGCTAGATGGATGCAAAAATATGGCCAGAAAAAATATGACCCTAAAGCAATGCTTCATCTCATCCACCTGCCCCTAACACCGGTTACGGACATACAGAGGGATAGACATGGGGATGGACAGACACATACAGAGCTGTGTGGAGACAAACACTGTTTTAACCCATAGATGGGTTCCATTGGTCAATGAGTCAAATACCTCAGGAAGCTACTGTGCTGTCCTTTGGGAACCTTCCCCAGGATAAGAGTTCTAGCTCTTTGGTTCCCAGTGTCCAAAGAAGTTCTGCTCCTCCTTCTCCAGCACACATAGTGAAAAAATAGAGGTCAGAAGTGGACGAGGCAGGGCAAGGAGGGTGGCTGGAAGATTCTAAGTGGTCACACTATAACCCGGAGCAGTAAGGACGATAAGGAGCCTAGGGCCAGGCCCAGCGCGAGGAAGAAGACCATGACTGTACCTGCAGCCTCAGCCTCTGAAGGTTTCACTGTCCTGGGAGGAGATGGGACAAAAGGCAAGGTCATCCCAAGACTCTTGCACCTGGCAATCTCTTCTCCAGACCCAGGACCTCCTCCCCTTCCCTAGAAAAATCCAACACCCCCCTCCAGACTCCACAACACCCAGTTCTCAAACCCTAGGATACTTCTTTCCATCCACTCTACTCATTCTCTTTAGAAAATCAGAAGTTCATCAATTTAGAATTGAAAAGGACCTTCTAGTTTAATCTTCCTTTTTCAGAAGAGAGAACTGAGGCCCAGAGAAACAAAAAGCGATTTGCCCACTGGTAGTAAGTTATCACAGGTGAGATTTGGTCCTTGAACTCCAAATCCAGTGCTCTTTCGAAACAAAAATGTACATTCTATGTTCTCTTCCAGATTCAGGACAACTGTGTCCCTGGCCCCTTGGCTTGGCTTAGGGCACCTCTCCCACAAGATAACCCCTTTTCTTACTCCAGCACACACCTTCCCTGCTTGGTCCCCAGCCCAGAGCCCCTTGCTAGCTGTAACACTCACACAGGCCATTCAGCAAAGCGTTCCCACTAAGCTATCTCAACATCCTCTATGGCCTTTGCTGTGATATGCTCTACATTCTCCCCTCTCCCCCAGGAGGCTCCACCACCTTCAGCCTTCATTTTTCAGGCCCATGTCCTTCACAGGGCCTGTGACACCCCACTCACCTGAAACTGCACCCTGAACATTACCTACAGCAAACAAACTACACTTCCCAGAATCCCAAGCTGGAAGCTAGGTTGCTTCCTGCCTTTAGCAACCAGAGCTTCACAGGATCTAGAGAAATGCCTGCTGAGGATGTAGATCGGGTGCAGGATGTTGGGTGGGCAAGTCTTTAGGGAAGGGGGGCCAGAAGAGCTCTGTAAGAAGGGCAGGGCAGGACAGAGCTGGGCACCCCCCCGGCTGAGGCTCTAACTATTCGCATTTCCCAGGCTCAGACTTTGTGCATCCTTACCTCCCTGCACCCTCACCTTGGCTCTAGGCATACCTAATCCTACGGGGAGGAGACTGTCTTCCTCCAATGAGACTGAGGTTCTCAGGTATACAGAAAGGGTCTCTTCTAATCAGGCCAGCAGAATTAACTCCCCCTCTCCTCGCCTACATCATGACAAACTCAGAATTCTGAACACAGGGATGCCGAGGACAGCGACTTATGTCAGATTCACTGGTCAAAGGACATACTGAGTCCCTGAGCCATCCTCCCTGCTGGCTAAGGGCACTGCCCCAGAAGCCTTGTGCCCAGAACCTGCTCTCCCCCTCCCTCCCCATGCCCTGCCCACTCACTTGGGGGCAAAGCACATGCAGAGGCTGGCGAGGTAGCCATTGGAGAAGGCAAAGAACATCATGAAGATGATGAACCAGGCGTCATGGTGGAAGATCACAGGCAGGTTCTTCCTCGGATGTACGTTGCACAGCATCAGCAATGGCACAAACACAATCCTCGCCACCACCAGGGCAGGAAGTTGCCATCCACTGTCCTTTTTCGGCTGTGGAGAAAGGGCCCCCCAAAGGTCCTTCGTCTCACTGCCTGCCTCACAGCAAAGAGTCCTCTCCTAAGAGAGGGTCCCTACCACTCATTCATTCACCATTAACAATTAATCGGTGAGCATTTACTAAGCTCCTGGCCTGAAGGCACAAAGAAAACTACTCCTGCCTTTACTTTCTACTGAGGCAAAAACATGTACCCAGTGTAGACAAATATGGAATAACTAGGGGAGTGAGGCACTAGCAGCTGGCGGGGGGAGGTAGAATCGAGAAATCAAGACGGGCTTCCTGCAGGAGGTGACAACTGAGTTGAACCTTGAAGGAAGCTAGGGGTTCTAAACAGCAGAGATGAGGCAGGGGAGTATCCCAGATATGTGGTCCCTGGTCCACTAACCTGCCCCAGGCAAGGACAAACACACACACACACACACACACACACACACACACACACACCCCACACACATACAACCCATTCTATTCTGGGACACCTCTAAGAAGCTTCTAGTCCAGGAAGTAGGGCCAGAAACCCCAAACCCTAGGCCCACCCACCACCACACATTCCTGGATTGGCCAATTTCAAAGCAGGAGAGGGCAGCTTAGATCCCCTTCCCCTAAGCAGTTACATGCTTTATTTACTTTCATCCTCAAACAAAGTTCTGTGAGACTCACATCATCCCTACCCCTACAAGTCCTACTTACCCACATGTACAGAGTAGTAAAGCTCCGGCCAGCACAGTCAAAGACATTGAAAGTGAAGAAGCAAGAGACAGGAATGAAATAATTTTCTGGAAGTGAGGCAGTGAAAAAGTGTCAAAGTAGGGAAGGTACTGAGACCCAAAGTGGGGAGGGGGTGGGGTTAAGAGGCAGGACACAGGTTGTAGTCTCAACTCTGAGCTCTGCGTGACCTGGAACAAGTCACTGCCCTCTCCTGAGCTCATTGTTTCTCTGATTGTACAATATACCCCGCTTTTTACAAAAAGATGGCAACAGGGACACCCTCCTGACCCCCCACAAGTCACCAACCTGTACACAATCATCCCCCCACCAACCCAGTTCCCTGTTATCTCAAAAGGAAAAGAATCATAAACTCGGCACCCTAAAGACCTCCAAATCCTACTGAAAATCTCTTCTTTTCCCTCCCTAAGGGATTCTGCTCTCCAGTTCCTCTCCCTCCAGTTCCACACCCAATCCTTCGCTGCCCACTCTGCCCTCCAGCTCTTACTCCAGTCACTGGTGCCCGCAATGGTGGACTGGACCTCAGCAGTCACAGAAGGGAACACACAGATGGTGATGATGAAGATAAAGCAGACAGACAATGCCAGAACCCAAATCTGCAAATCAGAGGAAAAGGGAATGGTTTCCTCCAGAGTTCACTGGGGCACATGGGGGGATGGATGTGGGGGTGGCAGTTCAGTCTCTTATTTGGATGTGTATTGGGGGAGAGGGGGTGTCTGGAATGATGAGGACAGGGGAGGAGAAAGAGAAGAATAAAAAAATCTCTCTTTTCCTGGACCCACCCACCAATAAGGTCAAAAATGGGGAAAGTCATAGATTGATGATGAAAGTCATAGAAAGGGTCAAGGGCAAGGGGGGAATGGGGATGGGAGAGGACAGGATACCCAGGCTTTCTACCCCATCAACCTGTTTGAGAATAGCTATGATGGAAGGCCTCTCACAGGGGGAGTTCTTTGTGCTGGCCTTTGACATCCCTCCCTCTTCTCCACTCTTGGCAGAGTTCTCTCCTGAGGAGAAGACAAGGTAAATATACGAGAAAATCCTGAATTAGGGGAAAAATAAACTTGTCCTCTAACACTATAGTGTTATATGATCATAGATTTAGAGCTGGAAAGGAATTTTGAGGCCATCTAGTCCCACTCCCCCAAGCCCCCCGCCCCCCACCCCTCAGCCCTCACTCCTCATTTTATAAATGAAAAAAACTGAAGCCCAGAGACCTTCCCCAAGGTAACAGTGTCAGAGGTGGAATTTGAACCCAGACCATCTGACTCCAGGGCAAGTACTCTTTCCACTCTCTAGCATCACCTCCTCCTAAGTGGAACCTACCTCCCAAATCCTACCTCTCTCTACCCTTGCCATCAGCAAGGTCTCAGGTCACTGGGTAAAGAGGAGAGGACCTCCCCAACAGGGACCCACAAGACAATCACTTCACAGCCCCATTTGACACAACCTCTGCTATTCCCTTTCCATGAAGAACCCTAAACCCCAGCTACCATTCATCACTTGGGTCACTAAAATGGCCTCCTGCTTCCTCTAGGCTCCCTTCTCTAATCTATGTTTCACCTTGTCCCTACTAGAGGTATTTCCTTATGGAAATATGGGTCATATCTCAGAGAGGGAGCCCACTGTAGTGGAGACAACAGGCCTAGGTCAAGAAGTCTAGGATCAAATTCCTCCTACAACACACACTGGCTCTGAATATGGGTTAATCACTTACCCTCTAGGACAGTGCTCTAAGACTATACATTGCATTATAGCTACTGATCTAATTAAGATCAGTAATTTGGTGTGTGTATATATATATATATTATCATATATAGTAATAGAGGGAATTTCTTTAATAAGAATTTCCCTATTAAAATGACATGAAATCACAGGCCTAACCCCCACCCCAAACCCCCTCTATACACACATGTTCACCACAGCTTACTTCATCACAACCAAAATCATTTCCCAATCAACAGCCTCTATGATTCAATCCTGAGGTACCCTCTGCTGTAGTCAGAAGTCTCCTCAGTGGCCTAAAAACATACCATACTCCTATTCCTGTGTGGGAAAGCAGAAAGATAACAGGATTCAAAGACTCCATGAATCCATAGAATGCTGGACTTGGAATCACAAAGACCTAAATTCAAGACAACTAGGTAGCACAGTAGATAGAGAACTGGCTCTGGAGTCAGGAGGACCTGAGTTCAAATGTGATGTCAGACACTTAACCCCAACTGCCTCGCCAAAAACAAACAAAAAACACAAAAGCCTGAGTTCAAATCCCACTTCAGATATGTACTAGCTGTGTAACCCCAAGCAAGTTGTTTAACGTCTCTGGGATTCAGATTCCTCATCCGTAGAAAGGGGTTTCGACTTATCACCTCCTACATTCCTTCAAGCTCTAAGACCTCTGATCTTTAACTCAATATGATTTAACAGTGTGACATGACAACAAAAAGATAATAAAGTATAACTGTACTAATAAATGCTTATTGATTGATAATACAATCCTGGGAACTAAAAGGTGTATAATAACCAAATCAAATCCTCAACATTTATTAAGCATCTACTATGGCACTATACTAAGCACTGAAGATATAAAGACAAAAAAAATCCAATTCCTGACTTTAAGGAGCTCCCAATCTAATTGAGGAGTCACCATATAAGCAACTATGCAAAAATAAGGCTACAGACAGGACACATTAGAGATAATCACAGAGGAAAGGCACTAAGAGGTGCCTAAAGAGGCCTAGGAAAGGCTTGTTTGTAGAAGTGGGATTTTAGCTGAGACCTGAAATAGCCAGAAGGCCAAGATGAGAAAGGAGAACCACTCCAGCCAGAGGCAAAGCCAATGAAAAACATATGGAGCTGCGAGTGAGAGACAGGGACCGCTGCCATTACAGAGTTCACAGACTAATAATGCCCAGAACCAGGAGGTGACAGTTCCAATCTATTCTGTTCTGACTGGGCCATTATCATAGAGCTCAGCTCTGCGTACTCTATTTTAAGAAAGCAACAGACAAGCTGGAATGTATCCAGGAGAGGATGGGGGAGAGGAGAACATAGCTCATGAGGATCAGTCGATAGCCTGAAGAATGTAAGACTGAGAGGTGACAAGAGTATAGCTCTGCTTGAACTCAAAGGGCAGGAACTAGGAGGAATGGATGGGAGTCATTGGAAGTCAGTCTTGAATCTGACGTCAGGAAAAGCTTCCCGATATTCCAAGCTGTTTGAAAACGGAATGGGAAGCTCAGGATCATCCACTGTTTGAGGACTTCTGAGGTCCTCTAGCGCTCCCTTTTCAGGTGTGAGCACTAACTGGCTAACGCAGCGAGTGGGGTGGAGGGAATTCTAGGATGGGTTGGACTAACCGCCAACGGAGGTCCCTTCTAGCTCTTGGGTTCCTGGCTTTTGTGAACTTGAGGAAGTCCCTTCTCCTTTCTGGGCTTCTGTTTCCCCACAAAAATAAATCGAAGACAGTAACACTACCCAAGAGGAAGTATGGCATAGTGCGGAGGTGTCAAAACTGTAGGACTTCGGCAACATTCCTGAGTGAGCCAAAACCAGATGAAAATGTAATTGATAAATTTTAACACAATAAATTGAAAAATACAATGCAACACAGATAATGTTAATTTGCGGTTTTCTAAGTCAACCATCAGGTTTCTATTTGAGTTGGCTCCACTGGCTTAGTAGATAAAGAGCCAACCTTGAAATCAAGAAGACCTGGATTAAAGTCCTACTTGTACCTCACCCATAATGGCTGTGTGACCCTCAAGTTCTTTTAATCTCTTTGTGCCTCAGGTAAATCATTTCTAAGACAGTGATTTTCAAAGCAAGAATGGATCTGCTTTTGATAAAGGAAATTCCTCATCAAGAACACCGTTGCAATCATAGTCCAGTCAAAAAAAAAATGCTACCTACTTTTCATTGTAGTGGTGAGGAAATTACCCTTCTAACCTTTGAAATGCTATGTAAGACACATCGGGTATGCCGGGGCCCCTCCCCTAGCCCCATGACTCCAGTGGATGCTTCTTTGGCCCCGCTGGGCCACTGCACATCTCCAATTCCACCCTCACGGTTCTCATCAAAGGTAGCTTTGGCAAGGTGATGCTAACTGAGAAGACTCTGGGACTCTGATGAGCTGCTTGCCATTAAGATCCTAGAAGGATACGATGGTGCAGGCAGCAGACTAATAAAAAAGCCCATTCTGGACCTTGGGGAGTTGCAGGTGGGCGGCAGCTACATTCTTCCATTTTCTAGGTCCCTGATTCTACTTTGTGATAGAGTCCCTTTTTTTTTAAAGTCCCATCTTACAGAGAAAGCCCTGCTAAAGGAGTGCCAGGGGACACGCAAAGTTTAGACAATGCGAAATCCCTGTCCCCATGAAGGTTACACTCTAGCACAGGGAAGTGTCAAGTACACAAAGCACTATCCTACGCAATTTTACATGATGAGCCCATAATACAGAGGGCTCACAAAATAAAGCGCCGTGTGCGTTTGAGGGTGAGGGTGGTACTCTGGTCAAAGGAAGACTTTTGGAGGAGAAAGCATTTGAGTTGAAACTTACAAGCTTACGCGGGCCTCTACCTCTTCTGAAGACTTCTTGTATGGACACTGGAACCTTGCAATGAAATTAAATCTGTGTCCTCAGGTGGGATATAAGTCCCTCGAGGGCAGGTATCACGTTTTATATTTCTCCTCATACCACCTAGCCCAGAGACCACATCCAGGTTTTTTGTTCTTGTTCCTTTGTTTTGAAGACTGACTCTCCCTATCTTGCCCAGGCTGTAGGGACAGCAGCCACTCACAGGCCTGACCCAATATGCTCCTACTTGAGCAACCTGATGCAACTCCCCACCACCACACTCCATATACTCCCTAAGGGCCCACCACATGGTAGACACCAGACTGGCTTTTGCCCTACTGAAGCTCAGTACTGGAGCTCCACCAATCCACCAGCCTCAGTCTCCCCTGGAACAGAGAATATAGCCATGTGCTGCCATGCCCAGTCACATTTTGTATTTCTTCCGAATCAACTAGCCCAGAGGCCACATATTTTTCAGTATCCTTCATAGCACCCTAGCACATAAAAGACTTCTCTCTTCCTCTGTTGAGTATGTATTCCCTCAGAGCAGCCTCCCTCCCACTCCTCTGGGGCCCAGGACCTCTTCGAATCAAATCCATTTTGGCTTCCCACTCCCCAACAGGCTCCATCTTTGCTTGCTGGTAATACTGGTAGAATTTCTGGCAAGGAGAAAAAAGAGAAGGGGACACCTCAGACTGAGATTCTTCTCCCCAATTTCTAACTTTTCAATCATCTACTCTTAGGATCACAGATCTAGGACCCTGATCTAATTCAACCCCTTTATTTTACTTTATGTTTTTAGAGAGAGAAGGAAATAAGACTTTATTTACACGTTTATTTATTTCAAGAGCATTGAAAAATAAACAAACATGGCAACTGACCAGTATGCCTTCTCTGTCCCTCCCAAAGCCTGGAGGAGCTAGGGCATAGTAATACAAAGGGGAAGAAAGTATCACCATAAGTGCCCTTGAACCCCAGAGACAGGGACGAAAGGAGGACAAACATACTGTCTTTTTCCCCAGATCCCAAGGTAGGGAAAGGTCTTTGGGATCATTTGTCTACTGGCTGATTACTTTGATAGGGAGGACGTAGTACAGAGATGGCAAATTCATGGCCCAAACCAGAAGAAAATTAAATTGGAAAATGTTTAACAAAATAAATAAACAACAAGATAATTCTAATTTGTGCCTTCCAAGCCAATAATGAGCTGGCAGAAATCCTCTAATTCTATGTAAGTTTGACACCACTGGCTTAGAAGCCGAAGGGGGTTCCTGAACAACTAAAAAGGGAAGATTCTTTGGGGGAAGGGAAGTGCAATTCTTAGAAGAAAGACAGAGGAGCCTAGGCAGCTCTAACCCACATATTTTACAGGCAACATTGGATCTGAAGCCAAGAAAACCCGAGTTTAAACCTCAGATACTTATTGGCTATGTGACCCTGGGCAAGTCACTTAACCACTATTTGCCTCAGTTTCCTCATCTGTAAAATGGAGATAATAATAACACCTATCTTCCCAGGGTTTTTGTGAAGATATTTGTAAAGCCCTTTGCAAACCTTAAAACATTATATACAAGTTAGCTATTTATTTTTATTGTTATTACTTTTACCACCTAGAGATTTTTTACTACTAGAGATCAGGAAACTAATACCCAGAGACAGAAGTGACTTGTTAAAGTGGCAGAGCCAGTATTTCAAACCCAAGTGGCCAGATTCCAAACCCAGCTCCTTTTCTACTATATCACACTGTCTCTATTATTCAGGAGCCCCTCCCAGAGGACAGACTTCTTCCCTTCATCTTACCAGGTGAGGCAGGACCAAGTAGCATAAAATAGAAATGACAGTGACCCCACAGGCAATGATAAAGTAGCCAAAAGCACTTTGTTCCAGTTCTGAACCACCTAGGGAGGTAGAAGGAACAGAAATTACTCATAGAAGAGATGAGACAAGTGATCTTTGCAAGGTCTCCATCCCCAACCCACCTCCTAGGGCCACTTCCCCCTCCTCTTCACACCTAGGTAGTCATAAAGAAGTGGGAAGAACTCACTGGCAATGGTGAAGATCATGGCCACAGCAGCAAAAATTCCAGCCAGGCCCTGGCCACTCATGATGGGAACTGTGTAGCTGGCAGGCAGGAGGCCAGCCAGGCCAAACAGGCTGCCCTGGAGAATGGCTCCAGATGCTAAGGAGAACACAGGACATGGTATAAGGGAAGAGGATGGAAAGAAGTCAGCCTGATGAGATGAGAGGAAATAAGACCGTAAGCTCCTAGAAAGCAGGGACAGCCTTTCTTTTTCCAGCACTTCGCATAGTGGCTGGCACACTGCTTAATAAATATTTAATGAATTGAACTGAATAATAGAGAGGGGACTAGGAGAAAGCAAGTAAGTCCCAGAAGGGTGTTACAAGGGGTAATGAAGACTAGAGGACAAAGAGAAAGCCACTGGCCACTCCAGGAATATTCTCTCAAAGAGGGAGGCCAAGGAAAACATTTTTCATTTCCCACCAGCCCACTCCCTCCAGCCTTCTCCATCATGCCCTAGAACCAGGTGTCTTGGCCTTTCAACCTCCTTTTAAGTGTAACCTTCCCCTTTAGAAAGTAAACTCTCTGTTGTGAAATGATCCAACCATTTTGGAGAACAATTTGGAACTATGCCCAAAGGGCTATAAAAATGTGCATACCCTTTGACCCAGCAATAGTACTTCTAGGGCTATATCCCAAAGAGATCATACAAATGGGAAAAGGACCCACATGTACAAAAATATTTATAGCAGCTCTTTTTGTGGTGGCAAAGAATTGGAAATTGAGAGGATGCCCATCAATTGGGGAATGGCTGAGCAAGTTGTGGTATATGAATGTAATGGAATACTATTGTGCTATAAGAAATGATGAACAGGCAGATTTCAGAAAAACCTGGAAAGACTTGTAGGGTCTAATGCTGAGTGAAGTGAGCAGAACCAAGAGAATGTTGTACACAGTAACAGCCATATTATGTGATGACTAATATTGTAGACTTAACCCGTCTCAGCAATACAAGGATCTAAGACATTTCCAAAGGCCTCATGATGGAAAATGCTATCCACATCCAAAGAAAGAACTATCGAGTTTGAATGCAGATCGAAGCATACTATTTGCTATTTTTTTCTTCTGTTGTGTTTTGTTTCCTCTGATGGTTCCTTCTATTAGTTCTAATTCTTACTTACAATATCACTAATGTGAAAATATGTTTAATAGAAATGTATATGTGTAGCCTATATCAGATTGCGTGCCATCTTTGGGAGGGAGAGGGAGAAAAATTTGAAGCTCAGAAGGTTATGGAAGTGATTGTTGATAATTCAAAATTAATTTAAAAAGGGCAGCTAGGTGGCTTAGCGGATAAAGCTCTGACCCTGGAGTTAGGAGGACCTGAGTTGAAATCTGACCTCAGACACTTGACACTTACTAGCTGTGTGACCCTGGGCAAGTCACTTAACCCTGACTGCCTCACCAAAAAAAAAAAAAAAGGAAAATTAATTTTAAAAAAAGTAAAAAAAAAAAGAAAGAAAGAAAATAAGCTCCTTGAGGGCAGAGACTTTTTTTTTGCATGTATTTGCATTCCTAGCACTTAGCACAGAGGTCAACACACCGTAAGCACTTAATAAAATGCTTGACCGACTATCTAGGCTAGGAGGCTGAAGCCCCAATTCAAATAGTTGGGAAAATAAAGACATACTGTAGGGAGGGAGACTAGGTAGGGGCATGGATAGAGTGCCAGCCCTGGAGTCAGGAGGATGACCTCAGTACAAATCTGCCCTCAGACACTTACTAGCTATGTGACCCTAGGCACTTAAGTTACTTCATCCTGTTTGCCTCAGTTTCCTCATTTGTAAAATGAGCTGGAGAAGGAAATGACAAACCACTCCAGTATCGTTGCCAAGGCAATCCCAAGTGGGGTCACGGAGGGTCAGACAGGACTGGAAACGACTCAACAACAAACAGCAGGGGGTAAGCAAAGCTGGATGGTCGAGACACTCCTTTCCCCAGCATACACTCTGCAAAGAGAAATGGATGCTGTGGGATTCTGTCCTTGAGATTCCAGTGAGAGGGACAGCTAGGTGGCACAGTGGATAGAACACTGGACCTGAAGTCAGAAGGATCTGAGTTCAAATCTGGCCTCAGACCAAACACTTGACACTTACTAGCTGTGTGACCCCGGGCAAGTCACTTAACCCCAGCTACCTAAAAAAAGAAAAAAAAAGAAAAGAAAAAAGAAAAGATTCCAGTGAGCTTTTGCCTCATCTTGCCTGGAACCAAGTTTTCATACCACTTCTCACCCAACCCTACACAGCGTCCTCTTCCCCCAAACCTTTCCAGCTCTCCTTCTGTGTATCTTGTGAATGTATGCTCTTTGAGGGCAGGAACTGTTTTGCTTGATAGTATCTGTATTCCAAGGGTTTAGCACAACCTACATAGGCCCTTAATAAATAAATATTCTTCCTGTCTCTCCATTCACCCATCTATCTCTATAAGGAAGAGATGGAGAAGAGATATTAACCAGTGAGGGAGGGAGGAAAATCCAAGCTGAGAAAGTCCCCACCAGCTCTCCATCACATTCCCCCCAGTTAGCTCTTCTCCCCTAAAAACTCCCCAAAGAACTTACAGCTGATGATAACAATCTGGATCATGGTGAGCGTGAAGAAGGCGATGGGATCAAGGTCCACTTTCACCAGGACGGCTGTCAAGGCAAACATCAGCAAGATGGCTACCATACTGCCCAAGATCCTCAGGGCCTGAGGAATTCTGCAGAAAAAGAAGAGGAAGGAGGGTGGGTCAAAAATCCATATTCCCTCTCCCCAAAACTGAGACAGGGGAATCACAGATCCACAGGCTCACACAAGACAGGGAAGGGGCAGGACACGCAGCAAGGAGGAAGAGAATAAAAAGAATTCAGGACAAGCTAGGCAGGAAAGAAACAAGTCTGGTAGAGAGCAGGCAAGGACTGGAGGGACCCCTGTGGAGATCACTAAGCAGGTCAAAAATACTTATACTTAGATGCTCCCTCAGAAGCACACAGTGAGTCATGTAAAACTCTTTGATCCTCAGTTTCCTCCACACTGAAAATAGGGATAAAATAACTCCTACATCATAGGATTCTCATAAGGATGAAAATAAAATAATGTAGGTAAGGTATTTTGTAAACTTTAAACCATTATATAAATTGGAATGAATACTATTTATTCCAATCCCCTCATTTTACTTTAAAAAAATATCTTATTAATATGATTATCCCTTCCACAGAGGGGGTTAGGGGTACAGTCCCCATAAAATCTGGAAAATCTGCATAAAATTTTTGCCTTTCCCTTTGAACAGAGAAGAAGCCTGAATTATTATTATGTATTATATATGGTATTAAAAGATAAAGTATGTTGATATTATCCACCAATATACATATATTTTATGCACTTCTGAGTTTCTAAACTTCTGTGTCTTCTGCTGGCCTTTGCATGTCCCCCTGTGGCTTCTGCAAAACTACCAAAATATTCCCAATTAATTTCTTATGTCAACCCACAATATATCTAAACCACAATGGAGAGAGTCACGATGTGGAACGGATAACTGTAATTTGTCTTTATAACACAGTCATTTCTCAGGAAAAGAAAAACTCCCAAACCCCTTCTAAGACTGAACCCTCTCTTAACTACAAAATAAAACAATTGAGCAAAAACATCCAATATAGCAGCAGCAATATGGTAACAACATTCTGCCCTAAAAGCCTCCCACCTCTCTGCCATCCTGGAGGAGTGATGACGGATGTCAGAATACCTGGGCCAAAATCTCAGAGCTGCTACTCCACCTGTGTGAGCCTCGGCAGGTCATCCCCCTTCCTATCAGGGAAGCAAGGAGTTAGGGCACCAGGGAAAGGAGATGAGTCATGGAAGCGTTCATTACCTCTGATGCAGGAAAGAGTTGAGACAAGTGAAGACCAGGAGGGGAAGCATGGCACATATGGTCATGCCATTATTGAAAATGGAGTTTAGGAAATTGGGCTTCAGTGGGGGTGATGATGTGGTAGCAAAGAGGTCCCTGTTTTCCTCTGTCAAGGCACCCGAGTTATTCTGAGGTGGGCCCAGGCGACTTTTGAAGTACTGAGGAGAGAGGGTGACAGTGAGGAACACTCAACAGGTACTAAGGTACTCACGGGCATATGGACCCACTAGCATATTCACAACAGACTGAATTCAGAAGCAGATGAGAATCCAGCTGTCTTCTAGTATGGCAGATAATATTGAGATCTACAAAAATATGTTTTAAAAAATGACACTCTGTTCACTAATTTTTAAAAAGAGGAAGCCACGGAGCAGTGGATAGAGCACCAGCCCTGAAGTCAGGAGGACTTGAGTTCAAATCCGGCCTCAGACCAAACACTTGACACTTACTAGCTGTGTGACCCTGGGCAAGTCACTTAACCCCAATTGCCTAAAAAATAAATGAATGAATGAATGAATGAATGAATGAATGAATGAATGAATGAATGAATGAATAAAAAGAGGAAGCCACCTTGGTCCCAAGGCCATCTTGGAAACCAAGAAGTTATAAAGGAAGGAAGGAGGCTATATGCTGTAGTAGAAAGAGTAGTAGATTTATGGATGGATAGGCAGTACAATGGATAGAGCACCGGCCCCTGAGTCAGGAGGACCTGAGTTCAAATACCACCTCAGACATTTGACATTTCCTAGCTGTGAGACCCTGGGCAAGTCGCTTAACCCCGACTGCCTCACCTAAATAAATAAAAGAGTAGTAGATTTGGAATGAGAGGAAGACCTGCACACAAAGTCCTGGCTCTGCCACTTACTACCTGGGTGACCCTGAGAGCAAGTCACTTCCCTTTGGGTCTCAGTTTCCTCATGTCTAAAATGAGGAGGCTGCTTGAAATATATGATCCTATAGTATTCCTCAGATGGCTCTTCATTCACCAACATGGTTATTCCTTTCACTAGTAGAGATTATAATCCACCCATTCCTTCTTGGTTCTTGTCCCTACCTTCTCAGAAATCCTTCTTAGATTATCGACCCAACATACAGGGGAGGCCTTCCTCTTGGTTTACATGGAAGTGTGCGTCATTTCTTCTACTAGCGTATCCAGACTCACACTGGGCTTTGGGCAAGAATGCCACATATATAGAGTACGAACAGTTGACACCTGGGTTTTTTCTTTTTCTTTCCATGCAAAACATATTTCCATATTAGACATATTGCCAAAAAAAATAAAGAAATATAATCTAGCAAGTCTAGCAGTCTACACAGATGGTCAAGTATTGAGTTAGGAGCTGAATCAGGAAGGCTTGGGTTCCGGTCCCACAGTCTGACACATACAGGCTGTGTAATCCTGGGGGGCAAGTCACCTCACCTCAGACTAAGCAAGAAGCTCTATAAGACTTTGAGTTATAAATGAGTTACTGCATCTGCAAGGGTGGAGGAAGATTCCTATAACCAATAAATCACAGGTCCAGTTTAAAAAAAAAAAAAGACAGCACGGAAGTTATGAGCCTCTGAATACCATCTCCCTTCTTAATCTCTTCTCCCTAGGCCCAGACAAGGCCAAATACAGCCCTGCTGTGTTTTTATCTGCTGCAAAGGAAGAGAGAATTGAGGATAGTCACCCTCAGGGGAGATGACATGCCCCAGGTCATACACACAAATAAGTGTCAGAGGTGGGATTCAAACGCCCATCTCTCTGACTTCAAAATCAGGGCTCTTTCTACTGCAACACACAATGTCGTGTTTGGCTATAACTAATGGAGCCGGTAATAAGTCTCCTAGTAGGGAGCTAGGCTGGTCATTGGATAACAAACACAGTCTGTCACCTGGATTGAACTCAAATCAGCTTTTTCCAAGGCAGAACTGTAAAAACCCAGGGGTCACCACAATATCAGCACGAGATACACATTAACATACTTCCATATGCCAGAAATGAGACCCTTAGAAGGTACCTTAAAGAGACTGGGGCTCTTCAACTTTTGTGTATTAAGGACCCCTCTGGCAATCTGGTGAACCCTGGTCTATTTTCTCTGGAGAATGTTTTTAAAATGCATGAAACAAAATACATAGGATTACAAAGGAAAACATTATATTGAAACACAGCCATCAAAATATACATTTTAAAAAATGCACAGAATCCAGGTTAAGAATCTCTGATCTAAGGGGCAGCTAGGTGGCACAGTGGATAGAACACCGGCTGTAGTCAGGATGACCTCAGTTCAAACTGGCCACAGACACCTATTAACTGTACAAGCCTGAGCAAGTCACCTAACCCACACCCCAGCCCCCACCCCACCAAAAAAGAATCTCTGGATTTAGTCTAATCCACTAATTTTCAGAGGAAGGAACCAAGGCTCTGAGATGTAGTAACCTGACCAAGTTCCAATATCAGAGTCAAGATTAGAACTCAAGTTGCCACATTCGCACATCCAGGGCACTCTCCACCACACAACACCACTACCTCTCCCTCCTCACATCCCAGCGGACAGAAACACCCCCCTCCTCCCAGGATGGACATGTCATCTACCCACATCCTCAAATCATAGCCTCGGGCATCTCCTCTAGGGACCTTTCCCCTGTCCCACCCTCTGCCTCTTGCAGAGTGGTCCACCATCTTCCCCTTCTCCTAAGTCTCACCATAGTGGCAGTCATAAAGAAATTCCATGGCAGCAGGGTGCCCAGCCCCAGCATGAAGAAGATAAGCCATACTGCTTTGTACCTGGAGGAAGAGAGGAAAGGCACATGGGATGGATGAGTGGCATATCCTAGCTTTGGTCTCTAACTAAAAAGACAATCTCTCTGCAGCCTACCTCTCACTCATTTCACTCTCAGCCCCCTCCAATCTACTATGACCCTCAGCAAACTCTTCACCTGCTTTGACTCTATCGGACAGCCGTAGGCCCAGGAAAGACAATCTTCTTTCAAGATATGGACACAGGGCTGACGCTATATCTGTGCCTTGGTTCCCAGCCCCCATTTGCCCGTAGGGATCTTTCAGGCCGGGAACTCCAGTTCAATCCCACACAGTTCCACAGAGAAAGGGGGGAGAGGAAGAACAAGAAAACAAAATACACAGCAAATATACCTCCTTCCCCTTTCAGCTGGAAATGATTATGCTGCTGCCTGTTGGGGGAAGGAGGGAAAGGAATTTCTAAGGTTCCCTACAAAAGATGTGAAATCAGGGAAACCAAGTCCCTGGTGCTTCTACCTGGCCATTCCAGGAAAGGCTGGGTGGCAGAAATGAACTCGGGAGGCCAGGGTCTGTATGTATGTGTGTACATGTCTGCTTTCTACTCCAGACAGAACCAGCTCTGCTGTTCACACTGCCTAAGGTGGGACCATGGGTGTCAGGCAATAGGATATCACCCAGGTTAAATATAGTTAATAGGGTCTTCCTAGTTTGTGGGGGAAAGGAAGGAGCTATTCCTCAACTCACATTAGGGCTGTAATACTTCCTACCACCTACCCCTATATCAGCCACTGTTTGGGACATGCTGAACCACAGAGGTGGGGTTGGGATCATGGCTAGAACCCCAAAGGAAAAAAGTCTGAGCTGTTTCCTCAGCCAAGAGGCAAGGAGGCTGGGCTTGGAAGCCAAGAGGGCTGAGCAGGATGATGGGTGAGAGAGATCAAATGAAAGGTCCCTGATGGTATATGTGAGATGCAGGGATAGGATGGATGGCAGAGGAAATCTCCCAAAAGGTGAACAGGGAATGATCAGAGATGGACCATGGGGCACTGTGACAAGAATACTGGTGGCTGGGATGTAAAGAATGGGGTAGAAAATGAGATTAGGATAAGAAAGACACCCAAAAGGTATAGGAAAGCTAGAGATGAAGCAGGGGAGCACTGAGAGAGTGTGATAAGGGAAAGAGTGAGCAAGAATAAGATAAGGAAGGGAGACACGAATCCAGAGAGAGAAAAAAGTGAGGGCAAGACTCAGACTGCAATTATCCAAGGAAGAAATCCTAAAAAGAGAAGGGTGGTGGTGGCAGCACTGACAAAGTTTTCCAGATGTGCTGGCGAGGGAGAAACAGAAGTGGCCAAATATCCTTCCGCATGGGAAGAGGCTGGAAGCCAAGGCCAGCTAACTGAGAGGAGCCAGAAGCAGGGTAGAAACAGTGACAGAATGGGAAGAGGCCCAGGCCATCCTACATGCCTGTCTCCCACTGACCGAGCACCCAGCAAACAGCTCAGACATAGATTTCCTCCTCACTCGCTGGTCTGGGCCTGACTCACAGGTGTTCAGCAGGAAGGGCTGGTAGACAGAGGAGGCCCTGAGAGTTATGTCACCATCCCTTCCCCCAGCTCCATGGGCAGAGACTCTTCCTTGGGCCCTTTCTGTTTCCTCTCCCTGCCCCCACCCTCCATTCCTATCATACCTGTCCTGTGGCTTGTGACTGGGCATCATGGCAGTAATGCTCCTGGCTCCACGTGGCTTCCACCTGTCAGTCTGGGGGTCCTTGGAGGGGGAAGGGGCAGAACAGGTGTTTAATTCCCCCTCCCTTCCCACCCCAGATCCTTCTTTGTTCCATAGTGGCAAGGATTAGGTTAACTCCTAACTTCACTATTTTCATTGGAGTTATCCCTGTCTGCCCTTCTCCCCACCTCCCCAAGGGACCCTAGTATGCCCTACTCCCCTTCTAAAGAGACCCTGTCCCCAGAACAGCCAAGATAGCCACAGAGTAGTGGGAGCTTGCCCCCCACCCCCACTCCCCACCTCCTCCAAGCTCTGGCAATATCTGGTTCCCCCCACCGCCACCACTATTTTTATCCAGCTCTGGAGCAATCTGTACCCAGAAAGCAGGAAAGGAAGCAGAAGGGAAGGGGGGTAATTGAAAGGGAAAGAGAGAGAAGAGACAGATGAGAAAAGAAGAGACTAGAAGGTCAGGGAGAGATCGGGGAGATAGGAGACTGGAGGGAGGATACAGGGAGGGAAGCAAAATACAGAAGGAGGCATAGATAGATATGGGAAGAAAAAAGGGGCAGAGGGAATGTACAAAACAGACAGAGGAGGAGAAGCTAAAGGACAAAGAAGGGTGAGAAGACAACAGCTACACAATCCTCATCTCTAAAGATGCTTTCTCCTGGAGGTGAGGGTGAGGGGGTAAGAGGGCCTGGGCATCGGCTCCTAGGCCAAGGCTTTCATTACATTTCACGTAATTTGCTGCTCTATGAGGCTGATCAGGACTGGGTGGTTTCTCAATCAGGGGAGGAACATGGGTTTTCGGAGCATGTCTCAGAGGGCCAGTAAAATACAACCCTCCCACTGGGGTTGGGCCCTTGAATAACACAATAACATGCCCAACAGTCAGATAAACTGAGTTTCAGAAGTGTTGTACTGGGTTCCAGTGTGGGTAGTTCAGCAGAGGTGAGATGCTGAGTTCCATAAGTCTCACTCGGTCTGGGATTCACCCTCCGCTACCCGTACCTTTGCTGACGAATTGCCCCCACCCGTAGGACTGTTCTTATAGGGCTCCACACTATATCACAGTCTCCCTTCCTTCTGAGAAGGCCTCTGTGGTTTTGTCTACACTATACCAAATTTGTTCCTATTCCCAGTGAACCACTCTGCTCAAGTTCTTCTATGGGTAAAGCTGCCCCACGACCAGCAGCAAAGGTTTGCTTGCCTGCCCATTGTGGCCTTATGGGCATCTGCCAGATCCCTGACTGGTACTGCAGCCACCTTTGGCACGATGTATCCGTCTGCTGGGAACCTTCTGGCAGAACTAGCTATGGATCTGGAGCATAGAGGGAAGTCTGTCACCAGCCCCCAAAGGCAGGCTGATTCACTTGCCCTCATGGTATTGCAAAACCATAGGGTGCTGGACACCCTAACAGCTGGCGGAGAGGTGGGAAGAATGTTGTTTCTTTGCCAACCAATCCTCTCACATAGAGGAAGACCTTAGTGCTTTAAAGAAGCAAGCTGAAGATTTATGGGATAGATGTCAAAACATTCTAAAGCATGTTTCCCTCTCACCTTCCTTTGATCTACTCTCCTGGTTGCCTGAAAACCTCGGCAACATTCTCTGTTCTGCTCTCCTAGGTCTGACATTCCTTTTCTTTATTTGCCTTGCTGTCCATCTTGGCATTAGACTCGTCACTCATTTATTCTTACATAAAATTAAAATCACATTTCAAATGAATGTTCCTCATTGGCCTTCAAGGGTTGCTCTGACCTTTTTGACTGAAAGGAGGGGGTATGAGGGTAATTATGATTTTTATATTAATTGATATGATATGTGTAATGAATTTGCTAATAGATTAGATTTTTCAGAATTGCCACTCTTGTGAGTCAGATTTACAATACAGCTTAAAATGATCAATCAAACTTTGACAAGGCTCACAATCACTGGCATCCTTCTGCCTGTGTACCTGAAGTGAAGTGACTCAAAGACTATAGAACCTGTTCCCATCCCAGAATCCATGTGTGTCTGTCATGGGAAACCCCGCTCAAACATTCTTTGTAATTCACCTTCCCCTCTCCCTTCCCACTTGTGATTTACGCATATAATCTCAGTCTTCACTTCAGCAAGGTGGAATTCGGATCAAGAGAATTCTCAATTTGCAAATCTGTTCCTTATAATGAAACTAATTAATTAAAAAGGGACCTGATTAGTGGCACTTTATCTCTGGCCTTCGGTTTGTTCATTCTCAGGTTAGAGAATGGCTCAGTAAAAACTCTGTTAACACCTTCTCCAGCTCATTTTATAGATGAGGAACTGAGGCAAACAGGGTTAAGCAACTTGCCCAAGGTCACACAGCTAATTGTGCATCTGTGGCCAGACTGGAACTCAGGAAGATGAGTTCCAGATTCCAAGCCCAGTGCTCAATCCACAGGGTGCCCCCACAGCTACCATAAGGTACAAAGGAGGTGATTATTTGCATTAGTAGAAGGCCAGGAATACCAAGTCCTGGGGAAATCCCCATCACCTTATTCAATTCTCATGCAAATAATCATTCTGCCCACAATGACCAGATAACAGATATAAAGCATTTTGCAAAGGGTAAATCCCTACATAAATGTCAGCTATTATCATGAAAAAGGATAAGGCAACAAACACCCTCTTCACCTCATACCAGGTTTGTTGCAATAGCTTTCTAGCTAGTTTTCCTGCCTCTAGTCCCTTCCCAACCCATCCTCCAAGCAGCTGCCAAAGTCATCTTTCTTCATTGCACATATGAATGCATCACCTCCCTACTTAATAAACACCAGTAGCTCCCTATTACCTCCAGGATCAAATATAAAATGCTATGTTTGGCATTTAAAGCATTCCTAGGTTTCCAGTCTTTTCATTCTACTTTGCCCCTCTATTTATTCTATGACACAATGACGCTGGCTTCCTTAGTGTTCATCCACAAGCCATCATCTTCAGACTCCTTTTTGTTTGTTTGTTCTTTGTTTGTTTACTAACTGGCCCTCCGGAATAACTAGAATGCTCTCTCCCTCCTCATGTCTGCCTGCTAGGTAAGTGACAACTCACTGGCCTTTCCTGGTCCCCTTTAATGCTAATACTTTCTCTCTGAGATTATTTCCAGTGTAAACTGTACATATTTCATTTACACATAATTGTTTACATCTTCTCCCTTCCCCACCCCCAGATTGTGAACCACTCAAGGGGAGGGACTGGTTTTTGCCATTTTTTGTATCCTTAGTACTTAGCACAGTGCCTGGACATATAGTGAAGCACTTAATAAACGCTTTTGTCCAAGGTGTCAGATCCCTCCTACCTCAGATCTTGGAATGGGAATACCCACTCAAACCAAAGTTCCTGGTCCAGCATTGAGGTGAGGCACTGGGCCTGGAGTCAGGGATACCCAAGTTCCAATTTGGCCTTAGCTGTACGATCCTGGTCAAGTCACTTCTACTCTGCCTCACTTTCCTCATTTGTAAAATGGAAGAAATAATAATACCTCCTTCCTAGGGTTGTTGTGAGGATGAAATGGCATAATTGTGGTACTTCACCTAATACATAGTAAGCTCTATCGATGTTAGCTGTTAGAATTATTATTATTCCTGAATAGGTGGAAGAACCAAATCTGAGACACTCATGTACTTCTTACCAGACTACAGGGGCAGCTGATCTGAAGAGGCAGGTTTAGAAGTAATTTTCCCATCATTCCCATCAGTCCCACTTGAGGTAAGGTCCAGTCAAGAACACCACAAAGGCAAAAAGGATGGAGGGGAGGTTTAGGGGCAGGGCTGAATTGTCTTTGGGAAGGGTGAAGTATAGAAAGGAGCAGAAGACATTTTAGAATCCCCATCCCGCCCTCCTCTCCACATTACAAATAGCTAAAAAAAATTCATGTCCTGAAGCTAGCGGGACCCTCCTCAATCTGGTAGCCTGGTCCTGCCAGGCCCTTCACACTCTCCATTGGCTTCAATTGCCCCTACTTCTTCCTCCTTGCTTTTCTCTAAGCCCCAGGAGCTGTGTATATCTTTATCTGCCCTACCACCAACAGCCTGGCAGGCAGGAGTAGGATGTAGGAGTAGACAAGAGGATGCCAAGAACATGGCGGAGATAATGCCAGAAGCATCTGGCTCCCTCAGCCTGAAACTTGACAGAAGGGAGATGTCACCCATTGTCAGCCTCTGAACAGGACAAGCCAAGCCCTGGTGACACAGACCCCTACACCCAGAAACCCTCTTCTCCGGCATCCTGAGTACACTCCACTGTACCCAGAAAGATGCCCCCCCACCTTCACTGCTGCTAAATCCCAACATTTCCCTGTGACCCCTACAAGACATGGAGCACCATCTGCCCAATCCCACAGAGACCAAGACTGCCAAGGAAACCAGCTCTTTCACAAGACAAACTGAGGTACCTCCACATGTGTTGAGATGAATGGAAACACTGAAACAGTCCTGGAAGAGTCTCATATCCAGGATTTGGAACTTAACTGGGGTAGTGCTGGCTGTGTAGGAAATGCTGATAGAGGGATTAGCAGGAATGGGGACCAGAGGTGACAGTAGCTGGTGAGAGGGTGAAAACAAGGATTAGGGCTAGGGGAGAGGGAAAAATGGGCCAGCCTCTATACACCGTGATAAGGAAAGGGGAAGAGCTTTCCTTGGGAGAGATGGGGAAACCAAGGGGGTGGGCTGTAATCTGCCCTACTCCCTTATACCTCTAGTATTGTGCTCAGGTCTAGGTACTATAATTGAAGAAAGCGACTGATAAGCTAAAGTGTATAAAGGAGAAAACAATGATGATTTTGAAGGGCATCAAGGGTTGAAGTCACAAGACAATTAGATGAAGGCTCTAAGAGGGTCTAGCCTAGTTACACTTGAGGGACAAGATAGCTGGCTGGCTTCAAGTATTTGAAAGGCTGTCCCACACAATCTGCTCAACTCCAGGTTACATAACTAGCAATTGCGGGTGGGGGAGGGAGAGCCTAGTGCAGAAAACTGAGGCTTTCCTCAAATGTAAAAGTAACAATTACCAACAATAGGTTATCCATTAA